TTTGTACCTGTCCTTCCCTCAGCCTCTTGCTCCTTCCAAGGAGCAGCCTCCCCATGTGAAATGGAGTCCGGTGGGGCTGGGTCACTACCTCTGACATTCTCCTGTCTCAGACTCCTTCTCTGGCTATTAATTATATATGTTAGGTGACAGGCATTATGCAAGTCCTGGACAAACTTGAATCCCAAATGGGGGTGGGGGTGTTTTACACAAGGTGTTGTTTACAGTGCCTCTGAATAGACAGAAACTGTTGTTAGTAGTTACTGTCCCCCCTGCCTTCTGGCAGGGCAGTGAGTTTCAAACAGCTTACTGAGGGGCAAGCAGGCTATCCAGAGGCATGACCTGTCTAGTTCACAGATCTAGAGACCGTACAGGTGAAGCCATTTCTCCATCCCACGGGCCCAATCTCTTAACCACACTCAAGAACCCATTCCTTCCTCCCCTCCATAAGTGTTTACACACAGTCATTGAGTGCCTGCCCTCTCACAGGGTGTATGCAGTCTTCTAGGAGGAGCAAGTCTCTAGATCTGCACACAAACACATCTGTATGAAGGAAAACTCAGTGCTGTGACACATGACTTGGCCCTAGATGACTCATGAGGGAAGCTTCCAGCTGGTCTAGTCAACTCCCAGTCAACTTCTTGTCTGGGACAGTCAGCCACTGCCCTTGTAGGTCAGCTGCGAGCTGATGACCCTGCAGGAGCCTGCTGCATGCAGCCCCACCCTGGCCCCTCCTCCCCAGCCTTGACTTTCTAAATCTCCCCCTTTGAAGATTGTCCCTTTACAACTGCCCTTTCCACCGAAGGATTCAGACACAAATTGTACTTTAAATTCAATATTGGTCATTAATATTTCATGATTACAAAACGTTAAAGATAATGTCAGTGGAAGGCGCGTCTGCATGGGCAGGATGGATGACTCAGAGGTTCAGGAGAGGGGAGCCAGCATACTAAGTGGGCCGGGAGCCTTTGAGGTAATCCAGTGTGACAGGCGGCTGCTCTGGCTGAGGGCGACATCCTCTGAGGGGCTCACAGAGCACTGCAGTGTGTATAAATATTTCCCCTCTGATCCTTGTCACCTCTTGTTTGTTCTGCTTGGGAGCAGGGGGGGCCGAGTGGCCCCTTACCTGTCCCCTGGGTTTCTGAGGAAGCCACACAGCTGCCTCAGCAGGAGAACTGTGGGCCAGGCAGAGTTGGGGATTCTGCACCTGGGACACAGGCTGGCTTCTGGCACGGCCATCTGGAGTTCCCTGGGCCTGAGTGGACTTGCTCTGTGATCTTGGGCCTACCTTTCCTCATTGTGAAACATAATAACTGTGTCTACATCTTCTAGAGATGGTGGGAAGGTGGGGTGGCTGAGGGTTATTTGCCACAAATTCCTCTGTGTGTGTGTGTGTGATGTGCATACATGTGTGTATATCTGTGTGTAGAGGTCAGAGGTTGGTATCAAATGTCTTTGTCTATTGCTCTCTGCCTTATATATTAAGTCAGGGTCTCTCATTTGAACACAGAGCTTGTCAATTTGGCTAGTTAACTAGCCAGCTTGCTCCAGGGATCCCTTGTCTCTGCCTTTTGAGCACTGGGGTTACAGGCGAGCTGCCATGCCTGCTTGGCATTTATGTGGGTGCTGGACATTTAAACTCTGGTCCTCATGTTTGCACGGCAAGCACTCTTTCCACTGAGCTATCTCCCCAGCCTCTTCTACCTTATGTTTAATTATGTTTATTTGTCTATCATCTATCATCCATCTATCTGTCTATCTATCTATCTATCTATCTATCTATCTATCTATCTATCTACCTATCTATCTACCTACCTACCTACCTACCTACCTACCTACCTACCTATCTATCATCTACAGTCTGTGTGTGTGCCCTGGGTACGTGTATGTATGGCACATGCATGCCATGGTGCATGCATGTGGTCAGAGGACAATGTCCAGGAGTCAGTTCTCTCCTTCCACCATGTGGGTCCCAGGGATTGAACTCAGTTCCTCAGTCTTGGAGGCAAGCGCCTTTACCTGCTGAGTCAGCTTGCCAGCCTCCATATTATTTTTGAGATGGGATCTCTCATTGAACTTAGAGTTAGTTCACCAATTCAGCTAGAGTGGCTGTCCGTGAGCCTCAGGGATCCTCCTGCCACCATCTCCCAGTGTTGGCTTTCCTGTGGGCACTGGGGATCTGAACTCAGGTCCTCATGCTTGCACAGCAAGCACTTTACCCACTGAGCCATCCCCAGTCCCAGACCCCAGTTTTGTGCCAGATCAAAGAAATATGCACAGGGAGAGTTGAGCTCTGGAGTCAAACAGGCTGGGGCTGGGGATATGTACGAATGACGTCATCTGAGTCTGTTTTCTCATCTACACACTGGGGACAACAGTAGAACCAACACCTCTGAGATGTGACGATCCAGTGGCCCCACCCCTGCAAAGGGCCTAGAGTGGGAATTGGAAAGTGTGATAAACCTTAGGAACTTGAAGCCACAGAGACAGCTCCTCCTGAGGGCTGTCCAGTCTGCCCCCTCATGACCCCTGGCACTGAAAGGTGGAAGAATTCCTTCACCCATTGCTTAGCAGTGGGGTGAGTGGAGGGCAGGTGCTATGGATTACAGCTCAGGGAGGCATCTCAAGCCCAGGCCAGAAGCCAGCTTCTCTCACAGACTCATCTCATTCCCGTGGAGGGATGCCGGGAGTCTCCTAGAGCAGAGTGCTGGGGACAGGGAGGCCACGAAGTTGCCGTGGGGCTGTGGGGGAACAGACCCCAGCCCTGCTGCTGTGTGCCTCAGCACTCTGCCTCCCTCCTAACTCCAACCATCAGTGAAGTGGATAGTGATAATGTGACTGATCAGGACTCCACAAAAGCATATGTTGGGCTGTTACCTAGCACATGGGAGACAGAAGCAGGAGGACCAGAGGTTCAAGGTCATCCTGGGCTACACAGGAGTGTGAAACTAGCCTGGGCTACATGGCACCCCGACTTAAAAACAAGCAAACAAACAAAAACCACAACATCACAAAACAAGTATATGCTGGGACGTATTGAGGCCAGATGTATTAAATATTCAAATGTGTATGTGTATGTGTGTGTGTGTGTGTGCGTGCACATGCATGCGTTCATGTGTGCACCCCCTTTCCACCTTCTGTGAATGGGGTGTTCTAGATGTGTAGGAAGGAAACCCTGGGGTGTAAGCATTATATTTAACCTAAGAAGGGACTTATTGGTGGCAGGGTGACAATCTTTGTGAGCTGAGGAAGGAGGCACCTCTGTGGCACAGCCAAGCCTGTACCTCCCCTGGCTCTGCCTGCAGCTGCCTGGAAGGGGCTCAGGAGGTGGAGGAGCTCTCTTCCCCCCAGTCCAGTGCTACTTCCTCTCCAGCCACCTTTGTTCCCCCTTCCAAGTGTTGGAAGAGTGGATTCAAAGGCTGGCAGCAGCCACACCGAGGGCTGAGCCTGCTTTGTGTTTTCCTTTAAACCGCAGTTGAAAGAGAGGAAGGGAACTTCAGCCTAGAGACTTCCTCAGCCCTGCCATGGGCCAGTGGGGCCTGGGAAGTGGGAGGAGGGGAGGGCCAGCACAGGGAGGAGTGGGAGGCTGGTACAGGGAGGAGGGGAAGACCAATACAGGAAGGAGGGGGAGGCCAGCACAGAGAGGAGGGGGAGGTCAGCACAGGGAGGAGGGGGAGGCCAATACAGGGAGGAGGAGGATGGTACAGGATAGTAGGGAGAGGCCTCCAGGAGTACTCCTGAGGCAGAGGGTGGTTTGAGTTGCCCTAAGGTGAGACTCAGAGATAAACCAGATTTCTCAATCACTCACAGACTGCTTACTGGCAACGTGCTGACCTGAGGCAGAAGTGACAGGGAACACAGCTGGAGGACAGGTGGAGGCACTGGCTGGCTCTGCCCTCTCCTGGTGCCCAGTGAGTCTCCACCCTCTGCTCCTCTGCATCCATACCTCAGGACCTTCTCTTCTTCTCCCAGTTTACCCTCCCTTCACCCAGCGGTGCCAAACCAGTCCCCTTCCCCTTCCAGAAATGTCTCCCCATCTGAGCTAAGTTCCTGGGATGCATTTGAAACCTACACACTTATAAGTCCTTAACTTGGTCCATCTCGTACCTTCAGGCAGCCCATCACCAGGTCCTGCCTCTGGGTCCACAGCCTATACCCCAAAGCAATTTCCTCTCACCCCCACAGTTCCTACCCCAGACTGGGCTACTGTCCCCTCTCCCAGTCGCACTGCTTCTGGCTAAGCTTCTACTTCTCCTCCACTCTGTCAATTCCAGAAAGTGTCACTTTTCCTCAAAGCCCTCTCAACTCCCATTCACAAGAAGTCCAAAGATCCCCACCCCCTTCCCCACCAGCAGTGGACTGCTCTGCCTCTCTCCAACGCGGCTGACCTGGCCTGCAGTTCCTCTAACATGCTGGGTGAATGCCACTCACCCCAGGGCCTTTTCACAGCTGTTCCTTCTGGCTGGGTTGCTCTCCCTCAGTACTGGGAGTGATGCTCTGACCTTCCTGAGGTCTTTGTTGAACTATCTTCCCAGAGCAGCCTTCACCTCAGAGAAACAATGCCCTTCTTCTTTCCAAATCCCTCACTCCACATTCTCCTCTCTCTGCTCCTTCATCCCATGTCACACGGTCTGACCTGCTGAGCATACCTTTTTTCAGTTTGTGGCTGGCCTAGCTCTCTCCTGTGAGGGCAAGTACTTTCTGTCTCAGTCAAGATAGAGCTTGGCCTATGTAGATGCTTAATAACCAAGGGAAGAAAGTTGGCCTCTAAAGTAGCCCTATCTCGTGGGCTTTGAAGACCTTTGTAGGTCTTCATTCCTGGGATCTGCTGCTGTCCCCCATCCCCAGGTGGGATGTTTGCCTAGTTTCTTACTCTTTGCCCTGCCTCAACCTTTGGCCCCTCCCTCATGTGCCTTGACTGACAGCTCAGTCTTTTCTCTACCCCAGCCATTGGTCCTGCCAATATATTCACGTTTGCTCTTCCACCCACTGGCCCAACTCACCTGCTTCCATGGCCAGCACGGTGATGTTGTGCCAGCCAGCAGTCTCACGATCAAGCCCCTTGCCAGTCACGATGGCGCCTGTGTCTGCATCAATGTCAAAGATCTGCTCCAAATCTGAGTCACGGTCAATGGCGTACCTGAGGGGGGTGGCAGGACAGGGCTGATCAAGCATGCCCTAGAGCCCATTATCTCCACCCCATTCTAAGAGAGGGACAACCTGCTAGGGACACAGAGGACGGGATGTTAAGTGATCTGGCTTAGCAGCTCCCTGGAGCTGGTGCCTGCTGGGTGTCAGGGGTCGGGGACAGCCTATCTGAGCCTCCCTTCCTTTAGATGGGCAGCATGGCTATGAACTTGCACCTCATGGTGTGGAGAGGATGTGAAGACCACATCCCTGACATGCAGTAAGATATATCCTGTTCTTAGCTTTTCAAAAGAGGAGACCCCAGGATTGCCTTTGACCCCGAAAAGGGGACTAAAGAGGAGTGGGGAGGCCAAGGGTGGCTGAGAACTGTTCAAGGAAGGTAAGGGATGCAAAATGGTTGAGCTGGAGGTGTGGAAGGCTAGTCAGGACCAGGATTGAGGGTCCTGGGAATTCTGAGCAGAACAGGGGGTAGAGGTGGGTTATAAGGAGTCTAGAAACCAAGCAGACCCCAGACAGGAGATGGCTGAGCCTGGACTTGGAGGGGTCTGTGGCTGGCCCTGCTCCTCCCGCCTGCGGCAGTCCCAGTGCTAATCTGCAGCTTTTCAGTTGCCGCGTGAAAAAGCCCTTTGTTCCACCTTCTTCCCGGCCTTTGTGCGGCAGCTCCAGGCCTGAAAGGCCCGTGTCCAACACATGTCTCGGCAGCAGCGGCCTACAGAGGCCCCCGCCAGCCAGCGCCGGCCTGCGTTCCTCGCTGATAACACGGGCGGGCTCACTGCGGCTGGAGCAGACAAAGACCTGGCACGCCGGCAAAGGCGGCAAAGACGCATTGTATAGCCAGAACAAAGCAGCCAGGCAGGGAGGGCAGCCTTGGCCATCTCCCAAACCCAGAGGGAAACTGAGGCCCAGGGAAGCAAGGACACCAGAAACAATGCCGGCCAGAACCAGAGCCTTAAGCTGCTCTTAGGAGAGGCCTGGGCTGCATGCATGGTCCAACCTCTCTGGGCCTCAGTTTCTCCATCTCTTCCATAGTAATAACGACTTGTGGGATGACTGCATAAGTCTGAGCATGCCAGGCTTGCATTTCTGGTTACCTGAACTCCATGTGTGACCTTGAACCAGTCTATTAGCTTCCTTGGTCTCTACTTATACATCTAATTTTGAGCCACCTGATATCCTGATGGGGTTTGGGTGGCCCAGTGGAGATGTTTACCTATTTACTGTTGCAGGGGAATGAAGGCCTGTGGCTCAGTGGTTAAGAGCCCTGACTGCTCTTACAGAACACCCAGGTTTGATTCCCAGCACCCACATGGAGGCTGACAACTGTCTGTAACTCCAGTTCCAGGGGAATCTGATGCCTTCCTCTGATCTCCACAGGTGTTGTAAGACACGGGTGCAATTACATACATGCGGGCAATACAGTCATACACATAAAATAAAAAATAAAAATAAATTCATGCCGGGCATGGTGGCACACGCTTTTAATCCCAGCACTCGGGAGGCAGAGGCAGGGGGATCTCTGTGAGTTCAAGGCTAGCCTGGTCTACATAGTGAATTCCAGGATAGCTGGGGCTGCAGGGAGACCCTGTAGTAAAAACAAAAACAAAAACAAAAACAAAAACAAAAAAATTATATGTATCTGTCTGTGAGTAATATACAAATGAGTGTAGTGCCTGTGTGGAGGCCAGAAGAGGGTACAGGATCCACTGGAGGCAAAGTTACAGGTAAAGGTTGTGAGCCATCCAACATGAGTGTTGGGAACTAAACTCAGGTCCTTTGCAAGAGCAGTACATAATCTTATCTGCCAAGCCCCCAAACTACCTTTAAATACACTGTTTAAAACAAAACCTGAAGCTGGGTATGGTAGCACATACCTACAATACCAGCAGTTGGGAGGCAGGTGGGAAGACTGTGAGTTTGAGGCTAGCCTGGACTATAGACCTTCTCTCAAAAAATGAAACCAAAAAAGAAAGTCAAAGAAAAGGGGGATCTCTGTGAGTTCAAGGCTAGCCTGGTCTACATAGTGAATTCCAGGATAGCTGGGGCTGCAGGGAGACTCTGTCTCAAAAAGACCAAAAAAATAAATAAATAAATTCATATGCGTGCGTGTGTGTGTGTGTGTGTGTGTGTGTGCTCACTATGTGAGTGGCCATATGACTGTACTCCTTCAGAGGCCAGACATGGACATCCGCATCTTTCCCCTATTGTTCCCTGCCTTACTCCCTCTGACAGGGTCTCCACTGAACCTGGATTGCCGTTTTATTGGCTGCAACATGTACCTCCCCCCAATACTGAGGTTATAGGTGTATGTGACTGTACCTGGCTTTTTACATGGGTGCTGGGGATTTGACCTCAGGTCCTCATGCTTGCACAGCAAGTGGTCTTATGTACTGAGCCATCTTTCCAGCCCTCAGAGTGGATTTTTGAAGTCAATCTCCCAAATTCCCATGCACTGTTCTCTCTTGCCCCGGGACTGCTGAGTACATAGCTTTCCCACCCCTGATCAGCCTGAGATGGGAGGTCAAAAGTTCAGCCCCAAGCTGACCATTTCTCCCTGGTATACAACGGACAAATCAGACATCACGTTTCCCAGCCATCCCCTGCTCTGCCTTTCACGTCCTGACCGTCAAGCAAGCATCTTCTCTGGGATGCTCAGGGTTGTGAGAGAACCAGACATCTGACCAGCTACTACAATCACCTCCACTTTGCAGATGAGGACAACGAGGCTTCAAAAGGAAACTTCAGCGCTCAGAGTGGCTGAGTTATGGTTCCTCAGACTGTGTCACGCACAAGGCATCATTCTATGTGTCCCTGCCCCAGGTATGTCTTCTTAACATGCTCTGTCTTTTAACTACACTATGGTGCTGTGTGGGCCAGCAAAGGCCCTCCTCCCTGCCAGGGGTGAATAGTGATTGTTAGACTCGGCACCCAGAGTTCTCTCCAGCATGTTGAACTAGCCAAAGCCTCAATGCACAGAGCCTTAGGTCTGCTCTGCCCCCAGCCTGGCCTTGCCAGTTATTTGGAGAGGAAGGAGGTAGAATAAGACTCTGAATGTCACTCAGAAAGAACCTTGAAGAATACTCTCCTTCCATAGATGTAAGGGTGGGGTGGAAGGAGGCAGGACTGAGGAAGGAGGTCAGCTGCCTCCTGATGGCCTCTCCTCCCTCTTTGCTTAGAATTCCCCCACCTCTTCCTCCTCCCTCTCTTTATCTTCCTCCTCCCTCCTCCTCCCTCTTCTCCTCCTCTTCCTCCTCCCTTTCCTCCTCCCAGTCCTCCCTCTCTTCCACCCTCTCCTCCTCCTATGCTTCCTTCTCCTCATCCCTCTTCTTTTCCACCCTCTCCTCCTGTTCCTGTCCCTTCTCCCTTCTCCCCTCTCTCCTCCTCCTCTTCTCCTTTTTCCTTTTCTCTTCCCCCTAACCTTATCTCCCTTCTCAATCCCCCTCTCCCTCCTCTGCTCTTCCTCCTCTTCTTCCTCCCAGTTTTTTCTTTTGTTCCTCTTAGAGGCGATGGCAGGAACTGGAGCCTAAGGAGAGGCAGTTGTCCCCATGGTCACAGGGTAGGGACTACAGGGATACCATTCACCAGTAAAGACTTGGGCCATGGGGCTGGCTGGCTAGCTGACTGGCTGAGCCCAGGTGCTTTTGTTCCAGTTCTGGGAGCCAGTGAGTGAGTAGGAGGGAATGGAGGGAAGGACTTGGTGTGTTGAGAACTGGCCTCAGGTGAGGAGAACAGAAAGCTGGCACATCTTATATACACACACAGGGCTTGAGATCTGATCTGTGTTGTGGGCAGGAGTGTGTGTTTGTGGCATGACTGTGAGTGGGGTGTGTGTGACAGCATGCTGCAGATGGAACAGCAAAGGCTCAGGCACCCTACGTTCCACCCCAACTCTGCATCAGGTCTACTCCTTGCATCAGGCCACTTCCTCCGTGAGTCACTGGAGTTGTTAACCCTACCAGAGTCTCCAGAGGGCAAGGTGCATACACTGGTGCTAGTTGAGATCAAGGGTAATTTCTCTGTGCATGGGAACCACTATCATTCTGTGATTTGGAGATGTTTGGCAGAAGTGCCACCAGGTGTGGGGGCCTGGGGCATTGCCAGTGATTGGAACAGGTGGAGACAGCTGCAGATCTAGCAGGCTCTGCTTGGATTTTACCCTCTTACTTCTCACTGGGCCCCGCTGGACCTAGAGGGCAGGAAAGGGAAGGGAATGGGCATGGGTGAAGGGGTCCATGACAGAATGTGGGTACTCACAAGTTGGCATGAGTGTGTGTGCAAGTGCATTTCTGTGCTTGCCTGTGTGCTGGGAGGGGTAGCCTGGGAATGGGCTGAAAGTGCAGAACGGAAGCCTAGGTTTGGAACCCAGCAGTGTGACCTCAGGCAAGTCACCTGACCACTCAGTTCTTCAGTTTCCTTCTCCCAAACAAGGGGATGCAACTGCCACTGCACAGGCTCGTTGGGAGCTTTAAGCAAGTGTGGGCCAAGAAAACACTAACCCACTTGCCACAGAGCTGGGCCATGCCACAGGATATATGACCCTGCACTCATGATGATTGAGTGGCCTTACTGTCATGTGCTCCTCAGATTGTCCCAGGAACTATCAGCCCTCCTGTTTACACTCAAGGAAACTGAGGCTGAGAGGAGCCAAGATGCTTAGGCTGGGTCACAAAGGGAAGCTTTGTAGCAGAGCCAAGTTCCTAGCCCAATGAGACCTCCTCAGGAGCCAGCCAGGTACACTTGCTGTCTGGGACTCAAGGAAGCTGCTGTGTTCAAGGTGAGGGAGGGGAGGGGAGGGGTGGTCCTGACTTGAGTGAATGCAAACCTCTCCCTCTAACGTCAGAGGTGGTCAGTTCATGTATGTGCAGCCTGCCCATGTTCCTGTGTGGTGGGTTTAGGGACACACACACACACACACACACACACACACACACACACACACATACACACACACAGCAGGATGAATGGGGCGGCCATACCCAAGCTGCTGACAGAAAGAGAGTCTCCTCAACATAGAATCCCAGCTCCGGGCCACTGAGACCTGGCCTGTCAATGGATTTATTCACACAGAAGCCCAGCCTTCCATGGGCCCATGTTCTACTCATGTCTGTAGTCTGTATCCAGGGAAGTGCACCGTACAAATTTAGAAACTATACCAAGTACGAAGAGTAAGAATCAGGGTAAGGCAGGAGGCTGCTCCCAGGAAGCAGTCTGTCATGGCTTAAATCCATCTTGCCCTAGGGATGGAGAGATGGCTCAGCGGGTAAGAGTACTGGATGCTCTTGCAGAGGGCCCAGGTTTGAATCCCAGCACCCACATGGTGGTTTATAACTGTAACTCCAGTTTCAGGGGATCCATTGTCCTCTTCTGACCTCTAAGGGTACACAGATGCACTTACATACATGCAGGCAATATACTCATATACATAAAAAATAAAAATAATAAAACTAAAAAAAATCCATCTTGCCCTTTCAGTGCTGGAGGCCTTGGCAAGTCTCTTTCCCTCTCTGACCCTCAGTGCCAGGAATGAATGTACTTCCCAAAATGAAGGCACCTACTCCCCCCTTGATGCCTACTCCTCCCCCGCGCACAGGCCACCTGCGTTTCCAAACTCCCCAGGGACCTGCTGCACCAGCACACTGTACCAGGCACTCTCCCAGTGGCCCATTTTATTTCTTTGTTCTAGAGGATGCATTGGCGCCAGGCCTGCCCACTTGGGACCCTTGAGCTTGCTGTTCCTGTTCTGAGCCATGCCCTCCCCACGTCTCTGTATTCTGCCAGTCTGTCCTTGGGCCCTTTTCTCACTGCCTGACCACTCAAAGGGATCCCCTGTGGCCCCAATGCCTCTGAACCCTCTCATCTAGCTGCTTCACAGCCTGTATCAGCATTTAACCATCCTTGATGTGGGTGTGGGCGGGATCCTGTCTTATGCAGGGAACCATGACCCGAGAACCTGGAGCTGAGAACCAAGCCTTGCTCTAGGCAGCAGCAGGTGGCCTGAGAACCCTTCCCTGTCACACATAACCCCTCACTGGCCTCTGTTCTCAGGTCTGTGCCCCACAGTCTGGGAGCTCTGCCCAGGAACTGCCCTGAGCTGAGTCATCTCATGTCCCCAGGCCTGGCTCTGGGCAGCGGTGGGAAAGCTGGGCAAATGTTTGTGGTGCTAAATTGGACCTGTTTCAAGCTCACTGCAGGCTCCTCCACATCTGAGGAGCCCCAGGGAAGGGGCCAGGCACAGGGAGATGAAGGAGCATGAGATGCTAGTTTCAAAGTCGGTCCCTTCAGCCAGGATGAAAGCAGAGGGGAGGGAAGGAGGGAGGGAGTGGGGAGAGCAAAGCCAACAAGGAGAGGTTGCAGATAGGAATGCTGCTGGACCAAGCTGACCACGTCCTCATCCTGTGATGCCCACAGAAGCTGGCCTGCTCTGGGCCTCAGTTTTCTGATAAACTGGGTGACACTGTCTTCCTTGAAGAGGGCTAGAGCCAGTCAGAGACCAAGGGGGTTTCAAGATTGTGCCTAGTGGCAGAGAGGTAGGAATTGCAGCAGCATCCTGGGTTTCTGCATGGATAAGCTCCTAGCCTACCTGTGAGGCCCTATTTAGAGTCACCATGGTGCCTCACCCCTTTCTGTCTACTAGAGCTTTAGGATCCTGATCACACCTCTGTCTTCAGCCATCTGTGTGAGCTGTTCCTCCACCTGAGTGCTTGTCCCCTGACCAGACTCAGGGCCCAGCCCAGGTCAACTCCTGTAAGCTCCAAGAAGTCTTCCACAATCTCTGAACATATCTCTCAGTCTGACAGCCTGGGGGCAGTTGAACATCTTATCACCTAGGGCTGGCATGTAAGGTTGCACAGGCTGGGGACTGTACAATTCTAAGAGGTATATTCTGACAGGCGATGGAGTCAACAGTGCAGAGATCCTTAAATAAACTTCCCTTTTCCCTCTCTTCAGTACCCAGCACAGAACTCAGCTTGGCTCAGAGATGGCTCACTATGTAAGGGGAGGCTAAGGTAGAAGCCGGGGGCCCTGGAGCCTCTTCTGTGTACATCCAACACTAGCCAATCTGCTACTTCTTCTGGGTCAGTTTCTACCACAACCTCTCTTCGAGGGACATCCCTGGCCGCATCTCTGCCCTGCTTCTGCCTCACTGGGTCTGAGTCGGGCTCTTAGGCCTCTGTCTGCACCACCAGGCAGGTCCCTCAGCTTTCTCTTTCCTGGTTCTCCTTGCCTGTCGTCCCTCTCACTGCTGGGCTCCTCTGCCTCTGACCCTGTTTCTGTCCCTTTTCTGATTCTTGCTCCAGGTTTCATTCATTCACCATCTGTTCGGAGGGTGTGCAGAATTGTTAGGTCCCGGCCTCAGCATCCCCAAGCATCCAGTGGTAAGCAAGCTGGTGGAGGGGCCCACTCTCTCAATGGCTCAATGGGGTAAGCACACCATTAGGAAAACCAGGTTGGATAGTGAGGAGTGTGGAGGGGTGCAGTTCGGGGCTGGATGGACAGCTGGGGAGGGCATTTGGAGAAGTGTGGCCAGGAAATGTCTTTCAGAGAGGGCTATGCTGAGCAAACAGGGTGGGACGGTGGAGAGTGGGGAACACAGGCCCAGGAGGAACTGCAGAGCAGCCTTGATGGGGAGATGAGAGAAGCTGGAGTCTGCAGGGGAAGAGGAGAGAAGCACATGGAGGGTTGGTGCCTAGAGCCTTCTGGGTGGTTCGGGTCAGGTTGGGAGTCAAGGTGACATTTAACTTTCATCTTGAGCCCAAGAGGTGGGTGAGGATCAGAGGGGCCAGGCTGGGCTTGACATGGGAACAGGACCTGTCTGGCTTTTTCTGTGAGGGCAGAAACAGGGAGGCCAGCTAGGGGACATGGTGGCTTAGAGCAGGCTGGTGGCCACCGGTAGGGAGTAGGGGAAGAAGTCTGGCTACAGTCTAAGGTAGAAACATCAGGGCTTGCAGATAGATTCTGGAGACAGAGACAGAGAGAGGAGAGAGAGAGAGAGAGAGAGAGAGAGAGAGAGAGAGACTGTCTAGCTGGTGGAAAAGACCCATGCAAACTCAAGGAGACAGAAACCCAGCATGGAACTGGAAAATGGGCAGGAGAGAGAGAGAGAGAATGATTTTGATGAGCCAGGATGGAGCAGCCCTATGAGAAGATGACTCAAGAAAATAGGTGGGTTTTGTTTTGCCTGGTTCTTGGGTCCCTTCTGAATATGGGAAGGGGTGTCCAGTGAGACCCAAGGGGCCTGGAGAGAGGAGGCACCAGGGTGTCTTCAGCTGGTGATCAGCTGGCTTCTTCTGCCCTTCTGCACACTGGCTCTGGTTTTTGTCCCTCTCTCATCTGAGGCATTCTTTTTGCGTCCTGAGCTCTTTGGCTTCTGGTGTCCCCTCCTCCCCTCTGCCCATGGTCTGTTGGGATGGCACATGGTGGGACAGCAGGCAGCAGGCGTGGCCCCGAGCGGGGGTCTCACCGGACAGGCCGGTTGGCAGCGTCGGGGTCCCGCGCAGTCACCACACCGACCAGGGAGCCCACCTGCGCGTCTTCCTGCACCTCCAGGAGGCCGGAGGGTGGTCGGAACTCAGGGGGCTCATCCACATCAGTCACGGCCACTCGCACGATTGCCTGGTCTCGGAATGTGCCCAGGTCGGCAAAGCGGGGGTCCACGAACTTGTTGAGAGCTTCCAGAACTACTGTGTGCACCTGCTGAGACTCGAAGTCCAGGTGCTGGGGGAGGCAGAGAGGGCCAGTCAGTGGCTGGGGCCTGTATGAGATGGCATTTTCAGGAAGGGAACACAGTGGGTCAGCAGCTAAGGTCACAGTTGGCTTAGCTCACCACAGAGCTGTCTGTCAGAGGCCCAGACCATCCCTTTTCAGTCACACTGTAATGGAGGATCCCTGGGGACCCCTCTTGTCTGGGGATACACAGTTACTACTCTAAAAGGTGCCAACCCCCAGGCTTTCTGCTTCTCCACTCAGGACATGGGAATTCCACAAAGTGCTCACTGTGTGCACATGCTTTCACTAGTCACTCCATTTGACCTCCACACCATGACCAACATGGCCATGCTTTCATTTTATCCATGAGGAAATTGTGGCCCAGAACAGCTCAGTGACTCGCCCAGGGTCCCTGAGCAGAAAGCTGTTGTCAGATCCAAGACTCAAAGCCAGGTGGACATGGCTTCCAAGCCCAGGAGAGAGGAGTGGGGGAGTGAATGTTGCTCCCTGAGGAATGAGTTACCCTGGTTGAGCCTGGCTCTGGCCTTCAAAGTTGAATTCAATGGGTACTGTGGTCATATGATGGTAGGGGGCAGGGAACTTCGTGGAGATCACAAGTTCATGTCTGCCCCATGTACAGGTTCCCCCACTTCCACAACAACACAAAAGTTCCCCTCTTTCCCCATCCTGTTGCTGAGCAGTCCACATGCAGAGAACTGGGTGCTGGCCTAGGAATGAGCAATGGCCTCTGGCCTCCAATTCCCTATCTGTGACAGGAGCTCATCTTACAGTCTGGACACATGTCAATCAAAAGACTAAAAACTAATCCGATTCAGCAGCCAGAAGGTCCCTGCTGGGCTGTCCCAGCTGTGTGGCCTTGGGCAGGGCACTGAACTGCTTGGGGCACACAGAGGCCATGACAACATGTGGATCAGAACAGGGGACTCAAGTCTCCCACTCAGGAGAAGGTTTCAGCTGACAGTTCTCAAGTCCTGGCATTTGATTTACTGTGCCATAGCTAAGTCCTGGAAAACAGATTTGTTAAGGGGCCTGCTTTGTTAAGGGTCCTCAATCCCTGTCCTCTAAGGAGCACCAAATCAAGTCTGAAGGCTGAGGTTCCTGGTACAGCCGGGGTAAGCATAGCTGCTGGATGTAGGAAGGAAAGGCCTGGATTCAAATCCAGCCTGGGACCAACTCTGTCCCTCCCAGATGTGGTCTTGGGCAAGGCTTTACCTTTCTCGCCCATCAAAATGGGGATGATGACCTCTTTCTTTAGGGGGAGACATGGGGGAGAAAAGATCTATGAAGGGCTAGGGATATGTGGAAGTAGCCCACAGCAGTGTTTAAGAGTCTGGATTCAGATTTGAATTGACCAGTAGCTGTGCAACCTCCAGTGTGTCACTCAACCTGTCTGAGACTCATTTTCTCATTTATGAGTTGGAAATGAGATCATCAAAAGATTTTCCTCATCTCTAGAATGGAGGGTGGTGGGAGTGGGAGCCCCTTGCTGCTGCAGCTGGCCCCAGGGCCTGCCTCCAGTCCTACCCATGCCCTCCCGGGGCAGCCTCACCTTCTGTACCACTATGATGGCCTCCTGAGTGTCACTGTCAGTGGTGACTTTGAATACGTCTCCTCCACTGCTGCTCTCCCCTCTCAGGTGGTAAGTCATGTCCGTGTTCTCGCCCACGTCTGAGTCTTCCGCCTTCACCCGGCCCACAGCTGTGCCGATGGGTGCAGACTCCTGGATGCTGAACTGGTACATCTCTGTGGGGGACACGCCAGGAGGTTGACCCCGGCCTCCACCAGCGCTGGGGAGAGGAGGAGGGGCCCGGGTGTGCCTGGGGTCTGCATCTGCAGGGTCTCCCCTGGCAAGGCAGGGACTGTGTGCCTGTCCTCTGTGCAAGGGCAGAGGCCATGAGGCTGGGAGGTTCACATTCCACCTGGCTGACAGTGTGGGAAAATGCCTACCATCCTTGGGGCCTCAGTCTCTCCACCTGTCTAGCAAGGGGGCTGGAGGGACTCAACAGTGAAGGTTGAGGCTCTGTGGGAAGTCCTGGTCTATATCCCTGAGCCTCAGTTTCTTAATCTATGCAATGGGAAGGACACCTCCTAACAGCAGCATTGCTATGACAACGAATGTAGATGCTGCTGCCTGTAAGATATGAGATAATAGTGCCCAGGGCATGACAGACAGGAAAACGACTCGTCTGTGTCATCTCATGTTGGTGACACTCATTGCTTTATTTTATCATCTATGGGGAGCACCTCTGATGTCCCAGGTAGCAAACAGAGTGAAGGCTGGGAGACTCACTAAGAAAGTGACACCCAGGGGAGGTGAGGGAGTAGACTGAGACCAAAGGATATTTGGGAAAGTGCATTCTAGACAGGAGATAGCAGGTGCAAAGGCCCTGAGGTGGGCACACTATGTGCTGTGTTTCAAGAATGCCAGGCTGGCCCTTATGGCTGGAGCAGAGGAGTAGAGGAGAAATGGAAGTGAGGCCAGATGGAAGCCAACAGCATCCGGCTCTCCGACGAGAGCTAAGGTTAAGGTGAGAGTGGCTTGCTAAATGTTGGGCCAGCTCAGATGAAGCCTCTTGGGGCTGTCACACATCTGGGAACCCTTTTGTGGAGCAGCTGCCTCTGACTCGTGCTCGTGTAGCAACTCCAGAGGAGACATGCCTTTCCCTCTCTCTGATCCCTCCATAGCTCCCCACCACCCTTGGGATAGACTTGGCAAACCCCTTAGTCCACCCTACAACACACATGCTGCTGCCTGCCCCCTGCCCCTCACTCCGGCTCATCTGCTGCTTACTGAATGCTCTGGTGATTCCACAGAATGACTCAACGCTCACCTGCAGGCACCCGGCCCCTCTTCCCTCCCCACTTCCCCTGGGGACCCTCCCTGACCTTCAGCTCCTCCTGTGCTGTGGAGAGGGTGCCAAGCTCATTCTAGCAGGCATCCCTGTGCCCCCTCCCCCCATACCCTGGACTGAGTGTCAGCTATGGGAGACAGGGACCACAGCACCTATTTCTTAGGCACCCTCAGAGCCTGGTGGCACAGCAGACTGTCTTATGGGTGGACCATATTAAGGACTGGTGAACATCTGAATTTATAAGTAGGCAGTCTGCAGATAAGCACAGATTGAGGAGTCTGAAATGGTACAAGGGGTGTGTGCGTGTCTTCATGGGAAACACTTCTCATGGACATTGGAAAAATGCGTACATAGGGGCACTAGGGACTGTGCAACCAGGTACAAAGTTCATAACAGCCCCACCTAGAAACAATCCAAGTATCCAACAGGGAAGATACACAAGAAAATCCTATACCATCAGGAAAATGAACACAGCTAGAATAAATAACCCCAATTCATGAACATAATTTTCAAAGTAATAAAGCAAGGCACACTATAATTGATGTCATATGGCTCCACTTATTTGAGGTTCACAGAGGGTAGAACTGGACATAGTGCTTGGTGATGCAGAGGAAGGGGAGCTCTAAGAAAAACAGAGAAACGACAGCCACATAGTGAGTGTGGCTGGTGCTGTTGGAAGATGCTGCAACTGGGAAAGGTGACTGGGGCTTCAGGGTCCTGCTGCTGGGACGGAGTGTGGCTCTGGGCATTTCTATTTTAAGTCCCTTCTGTCTGTGCTATATTCATAATAAAGAAACAAGGGTGAGAGGGAGGGGGAGTGAGTTAGAGAAGGAGGGAGGAAAGGAAGGAAAGAAGGAAGGAAGGGAGAGAAGGAGGGAGGGAAGGGTGAGGGATCAAGAACCTTCTTGGCTGAGCCTCCTCTGCTCTGCCCCATGAGAGCCCAGCATTGTGGGCAGCTACAGGCCTTCCTTTTGGGGTCCCCGAGTGCTGGAGCTGACAGTTTCTGGGCCTCAGTGTCTAGGAGCTGTGCTGGGGCCCACCCTACATTGGCTGTCTGAGGTGCTAGGCTTCAGTGTGGGTGATGCTGGGAGCTCAGCTAAGGGATTGCGTTCGCTTATCTCCTGGGGGTCAGCCCCTTGTGGCGGGGCCTAATATGAGAGCAGCAGACCTCGGGTAATGACTCTCCCGATAGGAATCAGACGGCTCCTGGTGGCATTTAGTCTCTGCCAAGGGTTCCCAGCTATAGCTGAGCCTGAGCCTGGGACAGCAGGGCTGGCTTACAGGCAGGTGGTAGGTAGCAGCCTGAACCAGAGAAACTGCCTCACCTCCTTGTGCCATAAGAGGCAAAACTCTCAATTCAGTAGCACAGGCCACTCACTGCCCGCTCCCCCAGGCTCTGGGAGGAGGGAGACCCTGTCCTTAGACTCAACTTCCCAGGCTAACCCATGGCATTCCTCTGCTTGGGTGTTGTGGCTGCCCCTTCCGTCTAGACTCCTGTGAGCCCCCAACACCTCTTTGCAAGCTTGGGTCAGGAACCTAACAGGTGAACAGACACTGGCAGGGGTGTCTCCCTCTCAGAGATCAACCTGAGGGGTGGGGAGGTCATGGCAGTTCTTGATTTTGGCAAAACCAGACAGGCAAGGTTTTCCTCTGCAGGATTCAGGCTTGAAGGGTAGGGTGTGTGGGCACTGCGAGGACAGAGGGACACCCAAGTAGGGGTGGAAGTCTCAAGGGAATTCAGGCCAACAGGGCCTTGTGTAAACTGACAGACACACAGACACGACCTCACTCACTCTGAGGGAAGCGGGGTGGGTTGTCGTTGACATCTGTCACCACGATGGTGACTGTAGTGGAGCCGGAGAGGCCTCCCAGCTGGCCTGCCATGTCTGTGGCTTGGACCACCACCTCGTAGCGCTCCTGGCTCTCGCGGTCGAGGTCTGGCACAGCTGTCCGGATCACACCTGTGGGTGAGGGAGGGTGAGATGAAGATGCCAGACCCTGGTCAGGCTGAGGCAGGACTCAGGCTTGCTGAGCTGTGGTGGAGTCAAGGTCCGGGGAGGGGAGGAGTGACTGGTACAGGCAATGATGTGACTGTGGGGTCCCTCAGAGCTTGGCAGCCAGAATACACTTGCAGAGCCCACACTTGTATACACTTGGCAGATTTGCACAGACACACATCCAGGCACTCACTCACTGCAAGGTATACTCTTTCTCACACACATTCCCACACTTGACTATCACATGCAGACAGACATGCTCTCCATACATTAACACACACAATACGCACACCTCTACACCTCAACAGCTAACACCCCATCACACACACACACACACACACACACACACACACACACACACACATCACACACGCACTCCTCTGCACATAGACATAAGCTTCTCATATATACAAACAAAAAGCAGACTGTTTGGCTTGCTGGGAGGGATCAGAAGCTGCCCTGGGCACACCCTCTCCCCATTGCAGCCAGTCCCCCTGTGGGCCTCAGTTTCTCCCAGGATCCATTCTGTATTCTGTGTAAGCAGGACCTCACCTGATTTGTTTGTTAGTGACCTGCAGAACCCAGTACCAAACATCCACTCAGGGGTGTTTAACCCAGGAATAGGATTCATATCCACATTCACTGTGGATCACACTCACCTGTGCACACATGTGTGGCTCACACTTATGAACTGTAGTCACACACTCCTATTTGTGTGCACCTGTCCCCATCTCCCATCCTTCCTTGCCAACCCAAAGTCTGGGTTTTCTATCCAGGGTACAGCAAAGGGCCCAGCAGACACGCCTCCAAACTGACTGTGCCGTGGGAGCAGACACAGGGGCTCTGGCAGGACAGGATGGCCAGGCCTCATTGCCTGTCAGCACAAGAGCCTCAGTCTGGAGGGGGAGTTGATGAGGCATTCAGAACCTTTCTCAACACCCCCTCCCACCTGCCAAGCACAGGTGGTGACAGGTGGTGCCTGGGCCTGAGCGCCAGGTGGAGTCACACACCAGCAGTCCCAGGATGCGCCCCATAAACCCATGCTCCATCTCTTGATGTCTCCAAGTCCCCAGATTGCAGTAAAGGCAATGGACAGGAGAGGCTCTGTGTGTGCATGTGAATGTGTATGACAGACCAGGACACTCAAGGTGGGGGCCTGGAGTGGTCTTTTATCACCACAGGAAGAGGCAGGGAAGGCATTCTGTCTAACCAAGGGCCACAGAAACAGAGGAAGGAAGGAGAGAAAAGGAGCTCAAACTCACCAGGGCCAGAGTGAGTGATTTACACTAACACCAGGTGTGTGTGGGGGGGGGGGCAAGTGACAGGCAGATGCAGTGGTCACCAGGCTGGAGACCGAGGTCCTAAGCGGGAAGGCAGGGGAGAGAACTGACTTTTCTTATTTGCTTTTTGAGACAGGGTCTCTTGTATCTCAGCCTGGCCTGGAACTTGGTATGTAGCTGATGCTGGCCTTGAACCCCTAATCCTCCTGCCTTTATTGCTTGAGTACTAGGATTACAGGTGCATGCTATGATGCTTGGCAGGCAGTTGACTTTAGTGAGACATTGACTGTACTCTGCGTAAGCCACTTTACATCCAGGGCCACACTGAATGAAGCAGTCTGGTGACTGCATCCTCAGCTCTGAGTGGAGACTGGAGAAGAGGTCTGGGTCCCCTCTGGTGGGTGAGGAGAGAGGCCCCACATGGCTGGCTTCCCTGACTGAGGACATGGAGCACAGAGCATGGTTCAGCTCTGAAGTGGGCACCAGGAGCCATGTTGCCTTTGAACCCTGTCCTGAGTTACACATTGTGCAAGGTTGCTATGACGACAGTTTCTAATGAACCTCCTCTCCTAGTATCCGCAACCTTGGAGAGTTCCTGCCTACCAAATCTGGCCTTGGGCATGTGACCTGCTCTGGCTTAGAGGTCATTAGTAGCTGTGACAAAGCAGAGGCCTGCTGAGCCCTTGTGTGTCAGGGCCTGTCCCCTGAGAGTCCTGAGCCCAGTGCACATTTAAGCAGCACTGGATAAAAGGGCAAACAGAGAGAGGCCTGGTCCTGCCAGCTGTTCCCCAGCTGAATCAGCCCCGAGGGACCTGAAAGTCAAGAATTGTCTCATAAGTGACCCCCAAGAAAGAACCGCCCAGTCAGTCCACAGAACTGTAAGAAAGAAGAGCCTTGTTAAGCCATTAAGTTTGGGGCAGTTTGCTACCCAGCTTTAAATAACAGAGAAATCTTGTTGACAGGGTCGTTCCTGGGCTGGCTTGGGCTGGGCTCACTCATGTAAGTGTGTTTAACTACAGGATCAGCTGGGCCTGGAGGTCCAAGATGACCTCGTCCATAGCTCTGTCAGCTGTGGCATGTGGGTACCTTCACTGTCCTGTCAGGACTGCAATGTTGGAGTGAGACTGAAAGGTCCTGGGTAGGGTGGCTCAGTGGGCAAAGGCACAGACCTCGAGTCCAGTGACCAGAGTTCTTTCCACATCATGGAAGGAGAGAACTCAGTCTCACAGGTTGTCTTCTGGCTTCTAGATGTCCACCTGTACACACATATGCATACATACAATAAGTAAATATATGTGAATGCTTTTAAGTAAAAGGCTTCTTTAAGACCTAATCTTGGAATTTGTAAAACATCTTTCTGTTGGGTTCTGTTAGTCAAAGCAAACCACAGGCCAGGCCAGATTCAAGGCTGGGGAAACAGACTCCACCTCTTAATGGGGGCAACTAGGCCACAGGGCAGCAGACCTTCTGCATCAGCAAGCTTTGCATCTGCAGGTTCAACATACTTGGATATAACCAGCTGCAGAATGAAAATGTTAAGGAAAAAATTGTGGCTGTATGGCACATACACAGATCTTTCCCCTTCCTATTACTCCCTGAATAGTGTGGCAACTATTTCCAAACATTTACTTTATGTGAGATCTTATCAGCCACCTAGAGACGATTTAGAGTAAATGAGAGAATGTGTGCAGGTGGCATGTGGGTACCGCATCACCTTAGGCAACGTGCCCCAGCAACCTTGGAGTTCTGGAGCCAATCCCTCTGAACTGTGAAAGGACAAATGTTCTGAGTGACTGTGCATATGTGGGAGGGGCTGAGGGTACAAAAAATTCCATCAAATCATCCCATATAGCTGTTTTCATATTTTTCTGGCTCTGCAAATTGATTTGTTTTTCATTCATTCATTCGCACTTGCTGTGTTGACTAATCTTGGTTGTCAACACACCTGAGATGAGGGATCCTCACCTAAGGAATTACCTCTATCAGATTGGCCTGTGGGTATATCTGTGTGGCATTTTCTTCATTGTTGATTGATGTGAGAGGGCCCAGCCCACTGTGGGCATTACATCCCTAGGTCTGTGAGGCCAGGCTGTACTTAAAAAGCTATCTGAGCAAGCCAGAGGATTCAAACCAGTAAGCAGCATTCCTCCATAGTCTCTGCCTCAGTTCTCACCTTGAGTTCCTACCTGGGCTTCCCTCCATGATGGACTGTAAGATGGAAGTCAAATAAACCCTTTCCTCCCTATGTTGGTTTTGGTCAGTATTTTTATCATAGCAACAGACTTGTGATGGGTAATCTTGGTTGTCAACACCTGGGAAGGGGCACCTCAACTGAGGAATTTCCTCCATCAGATTGGCTTGTGATACTGTAAGTCAAATAAACTTTCCTCCCCCAAGTTGTTTCTGGTTAGTGCTTTAACTCAGCAGTAGAGAAGCAAACTAAAGCACTTGCTGAGGGTCTTCGAAGTGCCAGGGACGCACAGCATTGGACATGAGGAGCCAGATCAGACAGACATAGGTGCACACATGCCACAGCACACGTGTCCAGGGCAGAGGACAACTTCAGGTGTCGGTTCTCAGCTCCCACCTCATTTAAGACAGGCTCTCTTGTTCACTCCTGTGTACTCCAGGCTGCTGCGGGTTTCTAGGGATTCTCCTGTTTCCGCCTTCCATCTAACGGTAGGAGTGCTGGAGTGCTGGGCTTACAGAAATATGGTACTACATCTGGCTTTACAAGGGTTCTGGGGGTGGAACTCAGGTCCTCAAGCTTGTACAGCAAGCACTCTAGCCATGGTGCCATCTCCCCAGCCCCAGGTCTCACATTCTGGAGACCGCTGGCAGATCCCCTTTTTTGAGCTCTGGGTTGGGCACCCCCCTGGACAAGTCCCCATGGGGGCAGAGATCCAGGCCAGTCTTTTCCTCAGTGAATTTGTAGGGTCTGAGGTGAATTGCTCAATTGGAACTTGGACTGATAGTGTGGCTCCCTCCACCTCTCTGTCCTCACATCCTGAGGCCGATGGCTGGCTGTTTCTAGCTTCTCTGGTAGAACAAATATCTATGCAGGTAGAAGTGAAGTCTAGTTACCACCCTATCCCAGGATCCCGCACACAACAGGTGCTCAGCAAGTCTGACTTTCATCCCCTTGTGTCCCAAAGGCCAACTCTGGCCCAGTTGAGAGTTTTCAGCCGAAATCTTGACATCTCTGAGGGAGTCTCTCAATTTCTGCTGGGGTGGTGGTGGGCAGGGGCTGGCAGTTATACCCTGGCTATGGCTGCCTGTAGTCGTGCCCTTACCTTTGTCCCCAGTTCTGGCTGTTGTCCTCACCACCCCTGATGTCTTCTCCAGATGCTGCATAAGGGGCCCCAGTGCCCACATGATGCCTCATTAGCCCTCAAATGCCATCTCTGTCACCCCTGTGGGGGGCTGGCTGGCAGGCCTGGCCTTTAAAACACACAAGTTAATTCCTCCTCTGGCACTCTGCCTTGTAGTGCCCTGCCTCCTCCCTTCCTCACACCTTCCTCTCAGGCCTCATTCCGGCTCTGTTCCCCGCTATCTGCGCAGCGAGAACAGACTGTACCTCACAGTAGCAGCTAAATATAGCCCCACATCAGCAGAATATTCCTGGCTGGGGAAACAAAGCTGGGGCTGGCAATGGTGCCAGGGTGGCTCTGGTGGTGAGGCTGGGGCATCGAGAGAGATCCAGTGCATCCTGGGAGATGTCAGAGTGAGGACCTTTTCGGACTCAGAAGTCGAGGATCCTCTGAGGACTTCACTGGGGCTCCTCTACCTGCCATGCATGGTGCCTCCTTTCTGGTTTTTTGAAACTTCCTGCTTTGCTGGGCTTTCAGATCGCCTACCTGTCATCTCCCTTCTGACCCTTTCAGATCCCCTGGGCTTTCAGATCTCCTACCTGTCATCTCCCTTCTGACCCTTTCAGATCCCCTGGGCTTTCAGATCTCCTACCTGTCATCTCCCTTCTGACCCTTTCAGATCCCCTGGGCTTTCAGATCTCCTACCTGTCATCTCCCTTCTGACCCTTTCAGATCCCCTGGGCTTTCAGATCTCCTACTTGTCATCTCCCTTCTGACCCTAAGAAAGTGGAGCCCTCCACACTCTCATAGAGTTTGACCTTCCACCCGCTAGTCCGATACCTCCCAGGATTCAGTCCTTACCTTGACCCCTGTCCTACCCAATAGTCTTACTCTGTAGCCTAGGCTGGCCTATGTCACTCAGGCTAGTCTCAGACTCATAGAGATCCTCCTGCCTCAGCCTCTCAGGTGCTGGAATTACAGACAGGAGCCTCAAGCCCAGCTTCTGTGTTCATCTTCTCTCTCTTCTCCTGAAAGTACAACCATGCCAAGTGCTAGATGGATGAAGGCACCCCATCACCATCATTGTCCCTGTACCAAGGGCTGAGCAGAGCACACTGAACACTTTTGTCCCTGGGGCCTTGCTGCGTATCCCTTAGAAATCCTCACTCCATCTGGGTCTCTGCTCCAAGGTCACAGATCTCCGTCTAACCCTTACCCTACTTTTTCTTCTTTCTGGAATGCACCATAGCCTGGCATGCTTTGATCAGCATTTGCTTACTTTCTATATTCTTTTCTTTGACAAAAGCTCCAGGAAGGTAGTCTTGGATAATTCCGCTGTTGCATCCCCAGTGCCGAGAGCACATCCGAGCACACTGTAGGCAGGCACAGGGCACCCATTCCAGGTATGAATGAAGGAATGATGTACCACGCTGAACCTTCACAAGCTCATGAATGCACACATGAACCCAGAGCTCCAAGAGCCCCAACCATTCTCCAAACTCCATGTCCATATTTTAGATGGACTGGGATGTCTAGAAGTTTCTTTCCCTTTCTTCCCTCACTATAATGCTGGCTTAAACTTGGATTCCCTAGCTCTGCCCCAGACCTCAGGGCTCATTGGTCAATCCCTCTCCTCCCAGAGAGGTTTTCCAACTCACCTTCCTCTTGTTTCTGTGTGAGGCTCCACTTCCCTACATGACTACAGGGGGACTAGGCTTGGGGTGGAACCAGGAGTTCCTAACTTGGGGGCTTGGGTCTGCCCAATGTTTGCCAACTACAGGACTTCACTGCATCCCCTTTCTCTCTCCTAAGCATCTCAACCCACCCTCACTCCCAATCCTTCATTAACTCTTGCCTGCTAACTAGCCAGGCAGGTCAAGGTGTCTGAATGGGTTTTAGGAAAGGATGGGCCTTTGGCTTTTATCCTTGGGGGCTCTGTGCTGGGCACCGGGGGCCTCTCTGCCTCTAATAATTCCTGTCAGGCTTTCCTGCTACCACCCAAGGGATCTTGTTAAAATGAAAACCTGGGCATGTCACTTCCCTGCTTAGAAGTCATCCACGAACCTGCAGCATCAGTGAGGAGGAGGGAACCCCAGGCATGGTAGCCCGAGGGTGGGGAGTGTAATCTGGTACCTCTCTTGGCATTATCTGTTGAGATTCCAAATGCATGTGCCCTGTGACCCAGTGTTTTCACTTCCTGAAAATTATCCTGCAGATGCACTCACGCAGGCACAGAATGATGCATGTGTGAGGTTATTTGCTGTAGCATTGTTCGTTGTAGCAAATGATTAGAAACAGCATAAGTGTCCATCAGGAGGGGACTAGTGAAATCAATCCCAGTGGATTCGTAACAAGCATTAAATAAAAGAATGAGGCACTCTTTATGGACTGATACGGAGTCATCTTCAAGATGTATTGTTAAGCAAACCTGGAAAGCTGTATGTACAGTGTGTGCTTACAGCTACCATTCCTGTAAGAACCAGAAGACAAATACACGTGTCTTGTTTCCTTGCACATGCTTAGAAGAGCTTTGTAAAGATTCACAGAAAATTACATTGGTTGCCTTGGGGACACAGGCAAGGTGGCTTGGGGACCAGATGGGGTGAGGGATTGCCACTAAATACTCATTTGAACCTTTTGAATTTTGAACCTTGAGACGTACTATCTGTTTTCAGAATGACTTGATATTTTTCAAGTGAATGAGTCCACAATCTCCCCGCTACATGCATCAGGCGGCACCTGAGGGGTGGCAGTGGCTGGGGCGGGGAGTGGGAAGTGCTTTCTTCTTAACATTATTTTTTTAGTGTTTGAATGTTTTTCAAAAATGCATTGCTTTTGCAAGGAGGCAAGAATAATGAAGATATTATGTGTAAGAGAACACAATTATAACTGAGCTCATAGACTAGAACCCTCCCCTCCTCCCCAAACCAAACAAATACATGAACAAAACTCAAAGCCAAATCCATTGCACACACTACACACACACACACACACACACACACACACACACACACACACACACACTGTCCTTAGAATAAACGCAGAGCTCCTTAGTCCTGCCAATCTGGACAACTGCCTCCCCCATAACTCCTCTCCCAGCTTTGACCTGTGCCATGTCCTCTCTCCAGGTATCTTCTGTGACCTCCCCTCTGATCCTCTGGTGTTAGCCACTTCATTTCCTAATTGACCAAGCAAATGCCCACCCCATCCCTACAGGCCTATGGGCTCTCGTGCCACCTGATAACTGTCCTGTGGCATTGGATGTCTCATCTTCCTCCTGTCCCTAAGAGCAGCTCTCCCAGCTGTGTGACCACAGGTGAGTCATATGCCTCTCTGAGCCTATATTCCCTAGGGTTCCTTAAGGCCCTCAGAGACTCATCAAGATTTAAGCTCAAAGTGAGTCAAGTGGGTGACAGTAGGTGCTGCTTTGTTGTATGGTGGTGCAGTCACATGTGGGGGGTAAATAGAAAGTCTCTAAGTGTTACTCCATCTTTCCTCAGATCCTCAACAGCTGCTGCGGGAATGGAGCTGGCCAATCTGCCCAAAAAGCACTCCTCCCAAGACACATTTGTAACCCCATAAGGGCTGCAGATACACTGGCCTCAACTTAGTTACAAGGACAAGCAGGATGCATGGTTCAGACCTGTAAGGTCCTTACAGGGTGCCAACATGGTGCCTGCTGCCTTTTCATTTCTCTGCTGTTCTTGCAGGAAGCTTCACCCATTCTTTTCTCCTCCTCCTCCTCCTCCTCCTCCTCCTCCTCCTCCTTCTTCTTCTTCTTCTTCTTCTTCTTCTTTTCTTCTTCTTCTTCTTCTTCTTCTTCTTCTTCTTCTTTCCTCCTCCTCCTCTGCCTTCTCCTCCTCATTTTTGCTTTTTGAGACAGGGTCTCCCTGTACCTCCCAGCTGGCCTTGAACTCACTATATAGACCAGGCTACCCTCGATCTTACAGAGATCCACATGCCTCTGCCTCCCAAGTGCTGGGTTTAAAGGCATGTGCCACCACACTGGGCTCTGTTCCTCCTCTTTCCTGGCTGACCATCCTCCCACCATCCTGGAGACTCCTGGAACCCAAGAAGCCTCCTGCATATGCTCTGTGCTGCCTTAGCACATGCTCTGTGTTGCTTAGCAGTGCTGGATCAGCAGGCTTAGTAGTCTGTGGTGGTCCCGCCTGCCATGGGGTCTGCCCCCATTAGCCCCTGGCTTACCAGGCCCTGTCTCTCGTTAACCCCTCCAGCTCCATCCCAGCCCCTCACCTGTCTTAGGGTCCACTGTGAAGTGGTGCTCGCCATCCAGCACGCTGTACACCAGCCGGGCACTGCTGCCATACGTGGGGTCATCTGCATCTGAGGCCATCACCTGCATCACCGATGTGCCTGGGCCCGGGGGACCAAGCGAGACAGTGGTCATACAATGGTCATCGGGAGCTTCTTGTTTCATCCCCTCCCCACCCTGGAGAAGCTAAGAAAGGATGCTCTTTGAGGACTCCCCTGGAGGTCATCAGTTAGCCACCTCATAGCCCTGTTCCCACACTGAGACCCAGCCTGCTTCCTAACCTATACCCTTCCTTGAGGCACAGGTGACCATGGAGTCATATCTGGATTTGAGTCTCCCTTGGTTTCCAGCTGCAGGACTGGCAAGAGAATCTCAATATCTTCTACAAAATGGGCATGGTGCCAATCCTCAGCCAGCAGGGAAAGTAGGAGGATGGATCTGATGCTCCTGGCACCATGTGGCTCTGGGTAGTCCCTCAAAGGCAGGAGGTAGGGGACACAGTCTTGTACACAGTTAAGGAATACAGTGAGAGCTGGGACTAGAAAGCAGGTCCCTGAGAGCTTTCGCCCACTTCAGCCCCTCCAGACACCTTGTGAACTCTGCCACCCCATTCCATTCAAGGCAGTAGCAGACAGGGATGACAGCCAAGTTCACTGGGGCTCAGAAGCTGGCATCTCTTGGCCCCTGGACAGGAGAACTGCATAGTCAACTTCCCTTGGAAAGTGGTTAGCTGTGGGCCCCGGTGCCCTCTCCCCCCTCCATTGGTGCCCAGACAGCATACCCCACCCCCAGTCACACACAGTTTTCCCCATGCTCTGCACGTAGGCTGCTGGGGAGAGTATAAATTGGATAAAAGTCCATCAAACAGCGGCAATTAAGTTATTGATTTTCGACGCTGCCTCATTAAACTGGGAGCTTCTCCCAGCCTGTCCCAGAGATGGCTCTAATTTGACATCATGTTCAATTTGACGAAAGCAGGGCTTGGGACGTGAGGTTGGACCAGTGGGGGAGGGGGTGGATGGAGGGATCATCAGAACCTTTCCAGAAAGAAAGGGTATGGGGGAAGGTGGGAAGTCCAGAGTCTTGGGGGAAGCTCAGCACATGACCCAAAGGGGAGGAGACTGAGACTGAGGGGGATGGCCTCAGATGGGTGCCCTACTGGGGGCTGAGTGGTCTCGATGGGAGCCTCCTGAGGCTGAGCTGGGCTCTCTGGGCCGGCAGACAGCATGCTGGGAGGTGAGGCCAGTTCACTGCTTGGCTAATGAGGGAGTCTAGAAGTGCTACTGCAGCAATTCTGCTGAGCCCAGCCTGCTGCCCACCTCGCCCGCCTCCAGCCCGGGGCCCTCCATCATTCCAGACAGACACATGTATTTATTTTTCACTCTTTTGCATTTCTCATTTCCCTCTCTGGGTCCCCCCTCCATTGCCTCCCGAGCGGCCCTGCAATGCGCCTGTCTTTGGTGGCTCCAGCTCCATGCCCACCATGTCTGAGTTGCCCTAAGAAGCTGGGGGAACAGGAAAGAGCCATTTCCTATGATGCTGATGGCCTGAGTTGGAGAGGATGGGAAGAAATGAACTATTGAGCATACATTGCATGCATGGAGTCACTAGCCTCTTAAACCCATGATCTCTAATCCCTGTAACATCTCTGAGATGAACAGTGGGCCTCTGACATTATGGGTGAGGAAATGGGCCAGATGGGAAAGAGGACATTGTGGGATTTGAACCTAGGATTGTAGTGACAATGCCCTTTTGGGTGTTAGCATTAGCACAGGTAGTGACTGAGGACACTGGCCTGGTGTGCTGACTTACAATCACTGATGGCACTGCCACCTATTAGGACCTTGGCCTTAGACATGCCCATGAACTCCCCTACACCACGACACCCTCCTTTGAGGAACGCAGGTGACAGTATCACCGAGCTCCTGAAGATCACGCCAAGAATTCAAATGGATTTTTGTTTCAGCACCAAGGACAGCACCAAGAAGCTGCTAAGAGCTCAAGAAATGCAGGTTTCAGTCTCCAGAGGCCCTGCGTGACGTGTACAGCAATGCCACCAGGCCTCCCTCACAGAGCCACTGGAATGACAGAGGCTACATGAAGCTCCAGACTCTTGATGGGTGCTCAATAAATGGGGCTGTTGTAACTGTTATGAGTCAGAGTCTCCCTGTCTCTCCCCTGCCCGGTCTCTCTACCCCAACAGCAAGTCACAAATGCTGGGCTGAGCGACTCCCTGGGGACATGGCTGAGCTAGCTTGCTCTCTCCCTGGCTGCATTCCAGGGACTCCCTCGGGGATGCTGGAATCATTTCCCCAATCCCGAGATTCTTTATTGTAGCCATTACAGTTAATGCCGACACGTGAGGATGGTGAAGGGTCAGTGATTCACCACGGTTCCCAGGCCTTGCAGAAATAGCTTTCTCAGGCCACATACCCCTCTTCACCAGCCAGAAGCCCCCAAGAATCAGCAGACAGAGGGGTGCCCAGCTGCTGTGAAGCCACCTTGGGATCATCCTCCCAAGTCAACTGCCATAGCTTTAGCAGACCAGCTTGTCATGCACCACCATGCCCATCCTGTCTTCCAGACCTCATGCCAACTCTGACATGGAGGGGGCACAAAGGCTGGCTTTCTATCTTTTGTGTAAGTGCTCCCACTGTGACCTAACAGGAAGCCACCACTGTGGCGTTGATTGGTCCACAGAACTCCTGAAAGTCACTATGTGGCTCTTACAAACTGAAACCCATGATTATTACTCCTCAATAACAGTGGTAACATCGCATATATGGCATAATTACTTTATGCCACACACTGTGCTGTGAGCCCTTTGCATGAAGCGTCTCATGAAATCCACACAGACACTTTGTCATTAGATCTGTTAAGATTTCTAGAGCCAGGCATAGTAGCTCACACTTGTTGATCCCAGCACTCAGGAGGCTGAGACAGGAGGATTGCCTCAACTTTGAGGCCAGCCTGGGCTACATAGGGAGGTTCTATACGAAGAAACAAAAAAAAAAGTCTGCTGGATAGATGAGGGAACTGAGGCTGAGTCAGGTGATAAGCCTTTTTAGTCTCTTTGTGCCTGTTTCCTCATTTGAAATCAGAATTAAGAGTGCTTACTGCTCAATTTGGGATCCTGTTGAGAACTCAGATTTCCATATTAAGCACCAAGGGCAGTACCTAGCCAAGTTCACCTGCACAGGGTGTAATCGAGCCAGGATTTAAATGCAGGTAGCGGTTATGTCAAAACCAATGTGTCTGGCTTTCGGGTAGGAGGGGGCATTGATTGGAGCTGAAATAGAAGGGTGAGGGAGAGGGAAGGCTTGGAGAAAGGAGAAGGGAGGGGAGGAGAGGAAGACAGGGCTGGGGTTCCAGTTCTCCAAGCCGGCCTGGCAGAGACGAGCTGGGGCGAGGGTGATCAGCACGCTGCTGACCGAGCTGCTGCCCTACCCGCAAGTGCTGTTTAAGCGCCTAAGTCAAGGCTGGAGTAGGATGGGCCGCCTGACTGATTCTTGGGTAAATGGGATCTCAGGGCCCTGGGATCCATGCAGAATGTTAAATATGGAAGGCTGGTCCTTAGAGAGCACAGACTCCAATGCTGTTCAACCTGGCCACACATTACAATCCTCTGGGAGCTTTAAAATAAAACTGATGCTGAGCCCCGTCCCTGACCAATTAAATAGGACTCTGCGGGCAGAGCCCAGGCAAGTGATTCTAATGTGCTTCTTGGGTTTAGAAGGGATGCATTGTGGACCTGACCCCTGACTGAACTAGTGGGGAGACTGAGTCACAGAGGGGCTCAATGACTCCCCAGATCACTTCTCTAGTAAGCAGAACAGTTCCAACTCAGTCTAGCCAGAATGTTGCCCTCCCTGAACCTGCCCTCAGGCCTACACCAAAAGGAACAGCTAGCCTGCCTCCCCCGACTCTCCCTCCATCCCCCATCCCCATCCTTAGAGCTCCTCCCATCTGAGATCAGTGTGAGACATGGGACCTTCCAAGGTGACGTTTCTCACACTTTCAGGGAGACTAAGTGGACTTTGGCATCACAATCCTGGGTTCAAATCCCAGTATGTTCTCACCCTTTCCCCTCAAGCAAGTCTTCCCTCTGTCTGGCCTGTTTCCCTCTGAGGTTTCCAAGGCACTGTGGGGATTAGAGTTTACAGGTTTAAGAGGCCAGTGAGCCAGGTATGTGGTGAGCAATGAACAGGAGCTCATTCCCCTTGGAGGCACCTGAGGCTGCTTCTTTGGCCCTGGGCACCAGCATCAGAGGGAGGGGCTTGTCTGTTATCCATTCTGGCTGGTCCCTTCACACTGTCCATTCATGGGATGCAACTGGGGCCCCAGCAGGCTCCTGAGGGGGGTGATGATGCATGGGGTGGAACTGGGGGAGGTGTCAGAGGTAAACTCTCACTCCAGCCCTTTCGTGGGCTCCATGGTTGGTTACAGGACTCCCACTCCAGCTGTTTGGTGTCTGGGTCTCTGTCCAAGTGGAGATAACACCTTATCCTTTGTGCACCCAGGGTTCCAGGTAATGAGATGAGAGGGATGAAGGTTCTGGCAAAGTTCAGAGTCCTGTCTGAGGTGACCAAGTGCCATTATTATGAAGATGTTTCTAATTGTCATCATCCTGCCTCTCTCCTACCTCTTCTGCTACCCCGCTGGGCCTGGGGATACCCTGGGCTCACATTTAGCTTCTCAAACATTTATAAAAACAGAGTTCCACCCCCTGCTGCTGCCAGCACCGTGTGCAATGCTTTCCATTAAAAATTAAAAACCACTTGTCGAGTCCCTGGGAAAGCTCAGATTACACAGGAAACAAGCCCCTTCTCCAACTCCACTACCCACCCCCCAGCTCCCTCTTTGTCACTTATAATGCAAGCTCACTAGGCTGGTCTTGACCTTGCTTCCAGGGCTGCCTGGCTGGGGCGGTCTAATGTAGATGAATGACCCACAGGGGATGTGCAGAAGTTGCAGGGCTAGGAACGAGGCAGGTCCAGGGACAGCAACTAGGGAGGTGACACAGAAGAGGAGGGGCAAGAAAGTGGGTTGGGGGGAGAAACAAGGGGCAGATACTTAGGGGCAGAAAGTGGGGCAGGTACCG